CAGAGCTGGAAAAAGGGGTGAGGGACGGGACAGACTGTGGCAAGACTGCCAAACTTGGGCCTGAGTATGGGCAGTGGACTGAGGCTGAGCGTGTGTCTAGACTTGGAAGTTCTTCAAGTGAAGTAGTAAAGGGCTCTCCTCTCCAGACTGGCAGGTATTTTATTAGTTTTTCCTGTGTTCTTTCCTTCTAGTTGGACCTCTTCTCCAGACTGTTATTAACCTAAGTCTGGCCCTTCCACATTCTATGGTCAAACTTTCCTTACACTTCACCAAAAATGGCGCAGGTGAAATTAGGGTGATGAATAGTGTGCAGCACTCAATCAGCTTTTTTATGACAAATGCATAAAGGCTTTCACCATATTACATTAGGTTCAGTGCCCAGCAGAAATTATTGTTGGATAGAAAAACTGAGGCTTACATAAATTTTATAGACATACAGGATATAAAACGCAGGTTGGAGCATTTCAAAAGGGCTGGTTTCCTCTGTGCAGGGCATGGTCGATCTGGGGTCTCCCTTTTGCTGGCCAGCAGGTTGGCAAGTCTGCCAGTGGTTTCCAGTAATTCTCCTCCTCTCCCTCATGGTTGTCCTCCAGCAGCAGCCCAGCCATAGCCTGCTGCAGGCCCCATGATTCCCCAACTACAAGGAGGGCCTTTATTTTCAGTGAATGGCTTGAAGGAAACTTGGCTGTTGCTTGAAACCCTTGGAACGGTTCTGATGCCGAGGACAGACTTAGTGCTGGATATTGGATTAGAGTGAATGTGATTGCATGTCGGCACTTAGATATTTTTGGGCTCATTGTGGTTTGTGATGTATACTGTCATTTCCATATTTCCACTCCTTTCATTTCAGTGAGACAGTGCACACTGTGCCATGGATGGTTCAGTATTTCAAGGTCCATGTAGTCAAAAAGAAAAAAAATGGAAATTTAAAAAATGTTGTTATTAGCCTTTGGTTAAACTTTTCTTTCCTGTTTTCTTCTACAGCAGGGACCAGACTACCTGCGTAGACTCTGCATTCTGTTACTCTTCCCTTGAGGATGAGGGACTCTCTGTTACTGATTATTCAGGCATGGTGGATGACGGCATTTCTTGTTCCCATGGCGACTACCCTTGCCGATTTACTGAGCGGTCGGCTTGGTCCCAGCGGGTGATTCCACACCGTGTATTTAGCCCTGCCTGCCTTCTGCAAAAGGCCCAGGTGGGTTCTGACAAAGAGCCACTGAGAGTTGTGCTAATTAAATTTTGTATGATTAAAGGAGACGGCATCAGTTGACGTTTGTGTCACTGTGTCAGAGGTTTTCAACTACCATCTCTTGGCACCCTGGTAAACATATTAGACTGTATTTCCATGGGGAGTGGTTAAAAAAAATCCTTATCATTTAAATATGTGAGCTATAATAGCATTTCTTTGCTTTTGGTTTGTTTCCCTTTTGCAGATGGGAGTCCTTAAGCTGTTGCCTCAATGTTTGGCTGCAGCCCATGCTGTTCTGGGGGTGCACCCCTTTCCCCGACTTGATGTTCTCATTGTCCCAGCAGGGTTCTCAAGTCTGGGAATGGCCAGGTAATGACATCTATGTTTTTGTTAAGAGGTTGCAAGGAGTAGATTATAAAGAAATGCTGGAACGAGAGAAAAAATACTAGTGAACAGGACTACAGGTTTAAAATTAATACAGGGAGTGCAGAATTATTAGGCAAATGAGTATTTTGTCCACATCATCCTCTTCATGCATGTTGTCTTACTCCAAGCTGTATAGGCTCG